AGGACTGCTGAAAATATCTTAACTACTGTTTAAAGGAACAAGGAAGAGTTTTATATGACACGATAATGTGTAAGAAGCATAAGGGTTACTAGATGGGCATAAAAATTAAGAACTTTCCTAAATCTATACAATCTTGAAAGTGAAATAATCAAATCATTCCGGACACTTTCCGGCTACGTCGAGACTGGCCGCAAATTCCGGAAAAGGGATGCAAATCAGGTAAGTCAGCATAGGGAACTCCGCGGGGAATCCCCCGCGGATTTAAATAAAACATGTCAGCCGCTTTTTTTCCCGGCTTGGGGAAAAGCCGGAAAAAAAGCGTCTAGACTGGCACGATCCTCCGGAATAAAGCCCTTTTCATCAAGATGAAAGTAGGAATAAGAGATCCTCCGGCAAAGGGCTTTATTCCGGAGGATCGTGCCAGTCTAGACGCTTTTTTTCCGGCTTTTCCCCAAGCCGGGAAAAAAAGCGGCTGACATGTTTTATTTAAATCCGCGGGGGATTCCCCGCGGAGTTCCCTATGCTGACTTACCTGATTTGCATCCCTTTTCCGGAATTTGTGGCCAGTCTAGACATAGCCTCCATGTTCATGACTGTTAGATGTGAAGCGGCCAACTCACAAAGCAAAAACACCTACCTGTAGCTGTAGAGTCTGTACAATCAAATTTAGAACACAGCAATTAGGTGAGACAAGTGCAACTTTATGGCCTTAGTCTTGTTAGACTAGTTTACTGAAAGGTCCCTTTTGAGACAAATTCTAATACTTGTGGGCTGTGTCTAGACTGGCAAGTTTTTCTGGAAAATCATCTGCTTTTCCGGAAAAACTTGCCAGCTGTCTACACTGGCCGCTTGAATTTCTGAAAAAGCACTGACTATCTACTGTAAAATCACCAGTGCTTTTCCGGGAAAAACTATGCTCCTCCCGTTCAGGCAAAAGTCTTTTTCCGAAAGCCTTTTGCGCAAAAGGGCCAGTGTAGACAACATAGTAATGTTTTCCGCAAAAAAGCCCCGATCGCGAAAATGGCGATCGGGGCTTTTTTGCGGAAAAGCACGTCTAGATTGGCCATGGATGCTTTTCCGCAAAGTGCTTTTCCGGAAAAGCGTCCTGCCAATCTAGACACGCTTTTCCGAAAATGCTTTTAATGGAAAACTTTTCCGTTAAAGTATTTCTGGAAAATCATGCCAGTGTAGATGTAGCCGTGGAGAGTGGGGGAGTGCCTATACAGTGTGTGGTGTGTTTGTGTGTGTGTGGGTGTGGGGGGCTTGTGGCTTAATCCTACATACATATATATGGGACTATTCATGTTTCAAAAGTAACTTTTGTAACCATTATTTGTTTTCACAGCTTTTAGACCTATGTATTTTAGATGTCAGTTCTCTGGACTTCCAGTATAGAACACTGGCTGCTGCTGCACTCTGCCACTATGCCTCAGCCGAGGTAGTTAAAAAAGCCTCAGGTAAGGTGGTCTTACCACCATGATAGCTCATAAAGCTATCCAAGTGGGTCTAATATCCTCAATCCTCTTAACTGTGTTTGGACCACTGGAAAACTTTTTAAAAACTGAACCTCAGATTATTACAACTAACTTGGTTTCAGCAGCATGCTGTGTGCTGTTCTAGTTTCTCAACTTGATCAATTAATCAGGTTTTGATCCCACTTATTTTTCAGGGTCCTCATTCACCTGCACCCCATGATAGTATCCCAACTACTGCAAAATTACTAACTGAATTTTAAGGAGCAGAAGCACAAGATTGTTGTGCTTCTGATGTGAAGTATCAGGCAATAACAATATTTTGTTGCTCTAGCTGCAGAAATAGCATCAGAACTGCTCTTGTAAATTAAAAATTCAACAGCAATCAGTAATTTTATATAATGCTAAAATGTTGAGTTTGGGTGACTTAACCTTACCTGAATGTGTTTCATGGAGGTTTTGTGTTGACTCAAGACAGCATGCCTATGTCATTAATAGGATTCATCTTTGTGCAGTGCATTAACTGGAAAAATGTTGCAAGATGTAGATGCAGTGATGTCTGATTACTCGATCCTTGTGCATGACTTTTCCTTATCACTGTATTAATCAAACTGCAGCATAGATATGTCCTTGTATTTGGGTCCCTATTTGTTACTCTTGTAAGCAGGCAGTTAATGTGACTTTAGAGAAGAAAGAAAGATGTTTCCTGTCAGGCCAGCTGTAAAGTAAATGATTTTAAAGAAAACTTCTCTAAAGACTGCACAGAGCAGTGTTTCTTAAATTATGTTCCACAGAACACTGGTGTTCTGCAAACAACTCAAACGTGTGCTATAACCTCTTGTTTTTATTACTACTTTTCTTTGTCTGAACTTTTTTTTTGGGGGGGAGGGGAGAGTTTTCATAAGTGTTCTGCACTTTCAAAAAGTTTAAGAAACACTGGCATAGAGCAATGACTCTTAGCATGTCTAGGGTTGCTGATTCCACATCTAGTCTATCAATCAGTAAAGGTCAGTGAGTTTTTTGAGCCTTATATAGAAGAGTATGATTGTCCATAAGCTAAACAATGCAGCTATGAAATGTTGCCTTAATATACTTAAGTTATGATAAAACTTATCAAAGTGGTAGTGCAGGACAGATCTAAAATTAAACCTGTAGCCTGCAACTATAGCAAATATATGCACAAAGCATAGGAAAGTGAAAACAAACTTTCTCTCCTTTACTTTACCATGTTAGCATGCAACATGGTTTAGCTGCATAATTTCTAAAACTGATATTTTTCCCTTAGGTTTAGATTGGGACAGCATTTCAGAATGTGTAGAATGGATGGAACCTTTTGTTAGAGTGGCAAGAAAAGCCCCAGTGAAATTGAAGAGTTTTAAGAAGATTGCCATGGAAGACAGACATAATATCCAAACCCATACAAACTACTTGGACATGCTGGTATGACTTGATTTTTGTTTCAGTGATTTCTATGCCTAACCTTAAAATAAGGTGGGCAATAAGTATATCGTTTCTAAAACTAGTCATCATGTGGACAGAGCCAACTCAGTGGCTTTAAACCTCTTTTCATTTGCAGACCCCCTAAAAAAGTCAAATGGATTAGTGGCCCACTTGGAAAAATGTTAGCGGGCTGCCAGGAGGCCATAGTCCACAGGACTAGAGGCATGTTCTATGGCTTCCCACTTTCCTCTAATCAGTTTTTCATGATCTTATCAAACTATAGTAACCCATGTATATTGTTTCTATAAGGGGGGAGGGTGCATAATTGGTCTCAATGGTTCAGTCATGGTGAAAGGGCATAACAAGTCAGGTTCCACAGGGACCGGTTCTGTTCAAATCTTCCATAATTTAGATACCACCAAGCTGAGAGGGGTTACAAGTACTCTGGAGGATAGGGTCTTAATTTTAAAATGATGTGGAGAGATGGTCTGAGGTAAATACAATGAAGTTCAATAAGGACAAATGCAAAGTACTCCACTTCCCTGAGTCAGCCGCTGGTCAGTTTCAGCAATGGCTGAATTGGGGCAGAGCAGCTCCAATTGTCTGGCTGCTCTGAGCACTTCCAGGTTCCAGATGGTGCCAGACCATCAGGAGTGCCAGACCATTGGAGTTTTACTGTACCTGAAAAGTGTTACAAAGAGGAGGGAGAAAAATTATAGGACAAGAAGCGCAACATAGCTTAAACTGTAGCAAGGGAGACTTAGGGAAAACTTCTTGTCAGGGTAGTTTAACCTATTCTTAAATATCTCAAATGATGGTGATTCTACAACCTCTCTAGGTAGACAGACAGCCATCAGGGATAATCTAGATGGTGCTTGGTCCTGTGGTGAGGGCAGGGAACTGGACTTGATGACCTCACAAGTCCCCTTCCAGGTCTAGGACTCTCTGAAACCTTGCATGTATGACAATAGCAGAAGGGGGGGGTGTCTCCACAGCTGGGTGTGTACCAAGGTGTCATGTGCTGGGGGAAGGATGTCAAACTGCCAGCAGGAAAGTCTCAAATGAGCCACATCCACCCTGACTTATCAAGCATTAATGAAGCTACTCTAACTTTATGTATAAAAAAACCCAACACCACTACCTCTGACTTCCACTCCAAATCATGTGGATGTGGGTTTTGTCCACAAAAGCTTATGCCCTAAAATCTGTTAGTATCTAAAGATATCATAGGACTCATTGTTTGTGCCAGTGGTCTAAAAAGAGCAAAATAGCTTGGGCTTCTAACTGTCCATTCCCCACTTGGCTATTTCATGGCACATTTCAGTAAGATACATAGTATCAATAGACTCTACTGCTTTGTCACTCTTCTGCAGTCAAGAATCGCTAAGAATGTTCTGTAGAACACTTAATTAACTTATTGCAGTCAAGTGGTTTTTTACTCATGCCCGTGACCCAGATGGACCCTGGCTGAGCCAAAATCTATCAGGCTTCATTCTTAGTATTTTTCACTAATGTACAAAAAAGTAGCTGGAATATTTAATTATAGGTGTAGAAGTAACTGTCATACTTCAACAGAAGATAGAGCTTTCAACAACGACATTGTATAATAATGGCTGTGTAAACTGCGCCCCCCCCCCCCCCATTTTCAGGATGAAGTGAATTGTGGAGCAACTCTGACAGCACCAGGACAGTTATCTCCAGGATGTATAGGAGGAATAATAACCCCCCCCAAAAGCACAGAGAAAAAGTGAAATATGGAAGCAGCAGCCAAGACAAATGCAGTGAACACTGTGGTAGAAACTCCTAAGCAGGATGCTGTGCTTCAGTACAAGGCTACCCAAAAGCAAACTAATCCTTGCACATTTAATTCCTCAACACCCTGTGGAGTAACAAATGATGTGTCAAGCTGGGTAAGGGATAGGAGACTTGGACTTCAGTTTTAAGAATTGTTATAGAACACCCTTCCTTATGTTTTATAGGTAGCTGAATTAGACCTTTTGCTACCTTCTGTTTTTTATCTATGCTACAGTAGGAATATTTAATTTGACCAATTCTTAAATTATGAATTGTTTCATTATGGATTTCAGGAACTTGTTTTAAAACAGCTTGTTGGATAGAATTGCAGTCATTAACTGGGTAGAGCTATAACAATTTGTTGAATGGCAGAAGAAACAAATCTGGATTTTTTTCCCCTCCATGTATTACTCGAACAAGAATCTGTACAAAAAGTCAAACCTATTAGTTTATATAGTTTTTGCCAATATCACTTTTTCCTAAAGTTAAAGGCCATATTTCATTGACATTTTAACCTGATTGCACTTAGCTTTGCCTACCTACCTATATGCTGGTGCAAATGGGAGAGAGGCAGGGATTACTATTTGAAGCTCAGATGCCTTTTAAAGTCCAGATAGCAGCTTTAGTTAGTTGGGCTTGAACTGGTCCCTCAGTCTAGACAAGGCTTAAATAAAGTGGCAGATTACTTTTAAAATAGCTCTGTAAATAGGGTTGCTGAAGTGGTGCTAATCTGAACTTGGTCTGAGTCCTAAGTTTGAACTCAGGTTAAAAAAAAAATTTTTTTTTGCTGCTGCAGTTAATTTAACTGGAAAAGTAGGTGAAGGAAAAAATTCTGCTTCATACTAAGACCTAGATATGGCCCTTTTAAATGTAATGCTCTTAGTTAGAACTAGAGTAGATTTAGGAAGAGTTGCACCTGAACTGGAAGCAGTTTTAATATCCCATACAGCATTAACCACTAATGTATGCTCCTTTGAATGTTCACTACCTCTTCTCCTGCCACACTTGCTTCTGCTCTACATCAGGGCAGGTGTTCCAGCAAGGAGCATCTTTTTGAACAAGAGGAATTACATGCAAATCAGTAAAGAAGAATATTAATTGTATATAACTCAAACTCTTGATGGCAGTGTGAGCCATGCTTATTCAATGCACACATCACCATAAGTAGTAACTTAGGTATAATCAACTGTATTAAACTCAGCATGCTCTGCTAGTTTAACTAAACTGAAGCTTAAATTCATTGCTTCAAACTGATTCTTAAAGCATTGCCCCATTTAGTATGTCAGACCTGTACAATTTTGTAAGATAATGGGTTTTATTGTAATTATTTCATGTATTTTTAAAAATACCACACCATATACTTGTAAATATATATTGTATAAAAGCTTCAAATATTCAACACATGAGTTAAATAAAGTGAAATATTTTCCAGTCTACATCATAACATAGGAATTTTTATCACTAGTCTAAAAGTAAAGTTTTGCCATTGCTTGAAGAAATTTCTTTTTTCGTCTCTGTGCAGCAAGTTGCAGTACTTCCTCTGGGTTACTAGCATTCAACTCTGTCTGGCCAATAGCTTTAATCTCAAAGTAAAAAATCATTTATTAGTTACAAAATAGTTTCTGCTTTAGTCTAAAAGAGAAAGCAAGAATGTAACATTTTTATAAAATGTTAATGCTTGAGTTCACATCACCATTCTTTCACCTTCATAGTTACAACTAGTAACTACAGGTTGTGACTCCTTAGTCTGGCACAGACCATGGATGTTCCGGGACCACAGAAGCCAGTAGCACTGTAGGAGACACCAGCAACTCAGCCAAATGGGCAGTACAGCAGGGAGCTCCAGCCCCAGCTGCAGAGCTCCAGCCCTGATGACATCAAGAGCCCCATCTAATAGGCTCGAACCCATCAGCAGCACAAGCCAGGAGGGGAGGGACCTCCCCTACTCTAGCTTTGAATTACCTTTTACAGGTCCTAAACAAGATTTGCTGAATTCCCTATCACCAAACCCCTCCCCTTTAACTTACTGCTATTTGTCTCTTGTCTGTCTCTCCTCTCTTATGATGGAGATCTGAACAAAAGTGTCAAGAAAAAGCTTCATGTGGACGTGTAATCAATACAGCAACAGTACAAAGGAACTAGGACCTACAAGAGACTTGTATATTTCATGAGCAAATGACCACTCAGGGATAATGGCTGAGCAAGTCCTTGGACACAAACTATTCTTTCCAAATTTCCAATCAGGTCAGAAGCTCTGAAAAACTGTCCCAGTAAGTAGCATGGATGCTTCTCCTTTCAACCCCAACAGACCTAGGCCCCTAACCAAGGGAATGTGACTATTGCACCCATCTACATCTATTTGTTCTAACATGAAACTTAACTCAACCATCAATACACTTAAGCTTTGTGCTTGGTTCTTCAACATGACCCCATAAATTGCTTTTGCTGTAAGTATTTCTAATGAAAGGATACATGTCAAGTATTCCAAAATGGTGACATCCCAGATGTAGTCATAGTAAGAATCCATAGCATCATGGCTGAAAGAGAATATCAATTAAGTTGTGGAATATGTACAGTCATTTAATTTTAAATATAAATGTATGTACCTGTTTTGTTCCTGCAGTGCCTTAAATGCTGTTTTATAGTCTATTTCTCTGAGGAACTGACATAAAATTGCTACCTATAGAGAGAAAGGAAGACTGATTTAATACAACATTTCTTAAAGCTTCTCTCCTTATGCTGAAATAATGGGCAGATTTAATTACATCTTGTTTTCATAGTAAATGGCTTTCCAGTAATCTGATACTTGGATTCATTCTACAAACACTAAGTTTAGAGGTTAAACACAGTAAATTAAGCTTTATGAAGTAGCTTTGCTCCTATTAACAGAATGATACAGCCTTTCAAGCCAGAGTAATTCCAGCACACCATGCAGAAAGAAAAGGTAAAAGGACTGACTGACAACTCCCTATTTTTAGTCTTTTATTCCACTGCAGCACAATAATTGCTTGGTGCAGCTCCATAAGATGTACTGATTTGATGTAGATTTAAAAAGAGATGCAAGAGGTGCAGTTTTCTGGAAAAGGTAAAAAGTAAGAGGGGGAAATGCCATTGGTCTTTCTAAAGCGATTTAATTCTAATTTTTGCAGAGTGACTGGTAGGTTCATTCTTGCTGACAGTTTTTCTTCCAGCAAGATAGATCCAGATTAGGGATGTTAAATGGCATTTAATCAGCTAATTGACTAGCTGATAAGGGGGGGAAACTCTAGCACAGCAGTGGGGTTAGCTCCCAGTCCTAGCAGCGAATCCCACTATACTTCTGCCTTTTAAATGTATTAAGAACCTGGTGGCTCTTAATACATTTAAAAGGCTTAAGTGCAGCAGGAAGGACTGGGCATGAGCTGGGAATCAGCTGTTTCTGGCTTGTGCCTGGTCCCCCACTATGCCTCTGCTTCCCTAGAAATGGTGCTAGGAGGGTAACTGGTTTTTAAGCCAGCTCCCACTCCCCCCACTTCCTGCCTCTCTCTGATAGAGGCAGCAAAGAGAAGGGCAAGAGTGACTAGTCGCTTACATCTCTACTCCAGATGGAATTCCTACTCGGTCCAATGATTTCTACACTACACTGGATGGCCCTGTGTGGTTATTAGGTTAAGCAAAGACTGACACCAGTTCAGGCAAGGATATGCTTGCAATAATGCATATTTCATTACATGCCCTGGCTGCTAGGCTACGCATTAAATCAGAGGATGGGGGGAGAGGTTGCAAAGAAGTGAATATTTTAAAATAAAAACAAGAAGCTTGCCGTCTCTGTGAACTTAACTAATGTACTTTCTTTTTAAGTGAGTTCAGATCAGAACCAGCCAATGAAATTTTCAAAGCATTATCACAATATTTTGATTAGTTTCTAAACTCTGCCAGGGAATGTTTACATAATCATTTTTAAATCAGACTTGTTAATTTTTTCCCTTTTAAAGAGAGTTCTTTAAAAACTGGCACCTGAATACACTCTTACCTGGGTATGGCAGTTGAGCAAAGAACAGCACTTTATCATTCTTTTTATCACCTATAGAGCACAAATTCAGAAGACAATTACAATGGCTTTCAAAATGTTGACAACATTAAGCACATTGTTGGCAACTTATCTAAAAGCAAAAATAAATACAGGAAGCCCTCATCCCCTGCAAATGGTGACATTCATGAATAGCCCCAGCTCCTGGCCCCCGCAGTGAGTTCCCTGCAGCTCAGCCCCTGCCATGCCTTTTCCCCAGTTGGGACAGAAGGCCCCCTGCAAATACATAGAACTGCAAATAGCAATTCTGCAAATCACAAGGGTCTACTGTAATTGTATACATATGCTTTTCCTTTAGAGATGAACTGAAGAAGAGGTTATCTATCTGTATAACACGGTTCTTCAAGATGTGTAGTCCCTATTTGAATTCCAAATCTGGGTGTATATGCATCAAAACATTTCATAGCAATGTCTAGGATTGGCAGGTGTGCAGATTCCTAATAGGCTGAGTGAATACTTCACCAACCATCCTCTTACTACAGAGCATTCCAATCTGGAGCAGATGGGGTTGACAGTAGGTACTTACATCCAAATAGAGCATCCCAACCTCATTCTATGAGTGATGGTCTTTATATGGATTTCAAATGTAGGTGAGTAGCAAGCAGTGACCAGTGTAAAGGTGGGTGTGAGGATATGGTCAATAGCATTGGCTGTAGAAGAGCTTGGCCCACAAGTGCTGTGTCTGCTGCAACCATGAGGGCGATGGCATAATAGGAAGTGAAGGTAGGGATAGAGCACTGTGTTGCCAAGAGACATCAGCGAGGCAGAATGACATGGCAGCTTGAGCCCAGGCAGAATGCACCATGACAACATTAAATGACCTCATCTAGCAGAGCCTGTGGCATTCATGGCTGCACCCAAAGACCCCTTTAGAAATGCACTGCAAGGAGGATATAATGCTTGCATCACTCAATTGCTACAGCGAGTTGTGGTGAGGCATGGGAATCACAGGTCCATTTCAGATGGAATGCCAGCACACTGGATGTCAAATGAGTCTGCCTGGCTAAATACAGGTTTCAGAGGGAAAAAAGCCTGCTGCTGCCAGCTGTAGAGTGATAAAGAGCATCCCCCCCAGAGGGATAAAGGATAGGATATAATGCTTGCATCACTCAATTGCTACAGCGAGTTGTGGTGAGGCATGGGAATCACAGGTCCATTTCAGATGGAATGCCAGCACACTGGATGTCAAATGAGTCTGCCTGGCTAAATACAGGTTTCAGAGGGAAAAAAGCCTGCTGCTGCCAGCTGTAGAGTGATAAAGAGCATCCCCCCCAGAGGGATAAAGGATCCCAGGA